ATAAAATTATGACACAGTAGGCAGCATGCGACTGTGAATAGGACTGAGTTCCATTCCCTGTTCTACCACAGACTTCCCATGTGACCTTGAATTAATCTTCAGTTTAGGTGCCTAACTGCCATTGAAATCAATGAGCTAGGTGGTAAATGAGCATCTGTGCCTCCATCTCTCTGCACCTTGGGTCTACCTCTGTAAAAAACATGGAGGTGGTATGAGGATAAATACATACAAAATTGAGAGAAGTTCAGATATTACAGTGATGGGAGCTTTATAAATACCTTAGGTAGAAAGATAAATATTACATTCTGCTCTGATAAATGAGGATTTGAAAGGTGGAGGGATATAAAGTAAAAGGTGGGTGTTTATAATTGCAGCATCCATATGCTCAGGGTTGCTTAATATGGGGCTTATAGAGGCTTTCATCTGGTGTCTGTTTGGGCACCTTTTCTTTTCCATCAATTTAAAATAATGAGCCTGCTCTAAGAAACTTGCACATAAAAAGGGCTGCTTGTTGCCAGTAGGGGAACATATATTGCAGTGCTTGGCAATAAGGTCCAGCAGTTATACCAATCTTCTCAGTATGAAGTCCAAGATGCTTAGTCAGCTGCAAGAGAGCCAAAGTGCATAGAAGAACTATTCTTAATTAGTTCATTGTTCATTATGAATAGGAAAACCACAGCAAATAAAAATCTAAGTTGTAGACGTGGACAATAACCTATTTCTTTTAATTTAGATCAGGGTGTCAAAGTTACTGGCCACAGAGCCCTATCATCCATACCACAGCGATACCCATGGGTCTCAGACTGGAACTTCATGCTACATGTAGGTGCCCTGGACCAGCCTGCATGCCACACGTAATGTACACCAGCCTTGGACTAGCCTGTACGCTGCACAGGGCAAACAAGGCAGTCTGGGGTACGCACTGTATGTTTTATATGGGACTGGTCCAGGGTGCACACTGCACTCAGTAAATGGGCCAGTCTGGGACATGTGCTGCACAGAGAGCCAGTTCAGGGTGTGTGCTGCACATGGGGCTGCTCCAGCATGCAGGCTGCACATGGCACCCTCACAGCCCAGTATGCTGGATCCAGCTTGTGGATCCAGTTTGTGGGCCTAATCTAGCCCATGGACCAGCCCTGTACCACCTGTTCAGCCTGAGGAACCTGGTGAGTTTCAGACCCCTAAATTAGATCATAAGAAAGAACACATGCAGCATGAACAAATATAGCTACCTCACATCTTTCTAATGGAGTACTCAGAATTATATCTAGGGTTTCATCTTATAAAGAGCCTGAATGAAAGTTGAGAGTTTTCTGTACCTTGAAGGATTGTGCTCTTGGCTTGAATCCATGTTAAAGGTTTGGAAAGTGCATGAGTCTCAGGTGCACATCCTGTAGGAAATATAGTAATTGTGGAAAATAATACTTCACCAAAGACCCCAGCTGTCCCATAACTGAACAGCACAAAGCAATCAGGTGGAAGGATGGGCAAGAAGACAGACAATTGTTGGATAACAGAGGGATAGAAGTCTCGGTGCAGAGGTTGGGCCACTACCAGAGAGGAGGGCATTGGAGGAGCTTTCATCCAAGGATATCACAGCATTTTACCAAAAAAAATCCTCAAAACTCTTCTCCAGATACTCAACAAAATGTTCTGCTGAAAAAAATAGGCCAGAATGTCATATTAACAGTTATAATTCCATTTTCTTTTCAGGCCTTTATCAGTTAAATTTAAAAAGAGAGATTATTTCCAGATTTATATGCAGTATACGATTTAAGATGAGAGTAGATGTTAAGAATTTCATAGACATTAGGGGCTGGAAGGGGCCTCATGAGATCATTGGGTCCAGGCCTCCCACCATAGGCAGGAAGTCAGCTGGGATCGAATGACCCAGGGGGTTATTAGGTCATTAGGGGGGATCAGCAGGCGCTAGGGGAGTCCCTGTTCCCCCGAGTGCCGCAAGGAGTGACCATGAACAACGGTCACAAGCTGGCGGAGGAAAGGTTTAAGTTGGACATCAGGAGGCACTGCTTCACGGTCAGGGTGGCTAGGGTCTGGAACCAGCTTCTAAGTGAGGTGGTGCAGGCTTAAAACCTGGGGGTTTTTAAGAGGAGGTTGGATGACCACCTTACTGGGGTCGTTTGACCCCAGTGCTCTTCCTGCCATGGCAGGGGGTCGGACTAGATGATCTTCTCAGGTCCCTTCTGACCCTAAAAACTATGAAACTATGAAACTATGACCCCAGCAAGAAATATATCCACTTGTTTTTTGAAAGAGTCCAGAGTAGTTGCTTGCACCACCTCTGGGGGGAGTCTGTTCCAGACCCTTCCTGGAGTTTATGACCATTAGACCTTGTTATCCTTTGGGAAGCTCTGGTGAACAGCTGTTCTCCCAGGTCTTGATGTACCCCTCTTGTACCCTAATTGTAGGCTGCCACCAAGTCCCCCCTGAGCCTTCTTTTCTTCAGACTGAAGAGTCCCAAGTCCCTCAGCCTCTCCTCATACGGCCTTCCTTCCAGGCCTTGGATAATACAAGTGGCTCTCCTCTGGTCTCTCTCAAGCTTCTCCACAACCTTCCTGAACTGGGGGCCCAATACTGGATGCAGTACTGCAGCTGCAGTCTCACCAGGGCCAATTAAAGTGGGAGGATGAGTTCCCTGGTTTTGTTTGAGATGCATCAGTGAATGCATGCCAGAGTTAGGTTTGCTTTGCCAGCCATAGCATCACATTGGTGGCTTATATTCATCTTGTCGTCAATCAAGACCCCTAAGTCCTTTTCGGTCATGGTGCTAACGAGTGTAGCACTGCCGAGCCTGTAAGCATGCTGAGGCTTCTTCCTACTGAGGTGCAGCACCTTACACTTCTCTACTTTGAAGGCCATCAGGTTTTGGTCAGCCGAGCCTGAGAGCGTGTCCAAGTTGGCCTTTATCCCTAGCCTGTCCTGCGGTGTGACCACCCTCCCCCATAATTTGGTATCGTCTGCGAACTTGGCCAGATTTTCAGGAAGAAGAAATCAAGGATTCAGGATTTAGGGGAAAGCAGTGGATGTGATCTCTCAACTTAGTGAAGCTTTTGGAACAATCTTCCATGATATTCTCATGTATAAATTAAGGAGATATGAAACAGCTATAATTGATTAAACTAGTACATGAATGACGCGTGCCCCCAGAGGCTGGGAGGGCATAGATTCATGGATGTTAGGGTCAGAAGGGACCTCAAAAGGTTATCTACTCTGACCCCTTGCCCTGGTGAAGTATCACTTCCTTCAACCTGTTCATCATGCATCTGCTAATGCATGATAAAGTGTAGTTAGCCTTGTTAATTACTTTGTCTCATTGACGACTCATGTTCATCTTGGAGTCAAGTATGACACCAAGATCCCTGTCCACTGCTGTGCTGCTGAGGCCATCCCCCAACCTGTCAGTGTGTTGGTGGTTCTTTTTGCCCAGGTGCAGCACTTTGCCACTTGTCTTTGTTGAACTGGATCCTATTTTATTCTGCC